AAAAAGTGAAATATTTCAAAGGGGAAATTTCCTGTTTCAAACAGGAAATTACCAAAATTTTTATTTCACTGATATATTTCTATAAACCACCGAAAAGCATGTAATAAATAAAGCTAACTTGGATGTCCGAAGTAGACACCATAAGCTGGTTTTGTTAATTCTATGTTGGTTTCCAGTTTAAACAAAAGTGAAAGGGCACTAGAGGGAAACGCACTATTTTTAATGATTTGTCTTGCAAAAGGAAAGGAAATTGCAATAAAACAGTTATAATATATGAAACTCGTAATTTAACGGGTATAACAGTGGCTTTTTGGCCTCGACATTTATTTTGCAGAAACATCCCTCGATGTCGCCCCAACAACTGTTATACCCCCGTAACTAACTCGTTTCATATACTTTAACTATTACATGTAAAAGTATTAAATTTGGTAGGACAATGCCCAGTAAAAATCTCTTCCGCGATAAGCGACAAGCCAATCAAGATTACACTTTTACACTTTTCATTTACGAATGATATTTGGGAACATAATGCGCGACGGAACGGCTGATATCGAAGTCGAAATACGGTGGAACTATTTCGCTCACGCACACTACTTAATTAATGTGCACGACATAGAAACTCGTTTACAACATATAGTTTTTTCATGCGCACAACGTAGTTATTTATGCGGACGACATAGTAATTAGTGCGCTAGTCTTCAATATTTCTTGCAAACTTGATGTAGCCTGATTTATCATCTTTGTTGCACAATGCATCTGTTTACCAAAATTAAAAACTAAAAAAAGACACCTTAGTCGCATGTACCCTTGTGCAAACTTAAAGTCTTAGTCACCATATCCAATCTGGACCCCTTTTACTGAAGGTGGCTGCACATATTGTTCTTAAATATGTACACAGGAGCTCTGAACCTCTTATCATTGCAAAATAAGGATGAAATATTGTAGTTTATTCGTTCACATAACGACATAATGAATCACTGCATTGTCATTGCTGTTATGATTTGGCTTTGAAGATCTGTGCAAACTTCTGACTGATGTATATGTAGAACATGCATCTAACCGATCATAATTACCACCACCTCAACTGACTCTATAAAGCCGTCAGTCAGACTCGATTGTGCTTGTCAAAAAAAGATAACTTCATCAACTGCCTCTGGATCACTAGTGTTTGATGCAAAAATACACCGAATCCAATGAAGTATAACGCAGGTTTTCTGCCGGACTTTACACAGTCACAAGATTGACAATGAAATTGTAAAATTCCACTTCTAACACCATAATATGTTACAAACCCTAGACCGCACTCGTTCTGCTTTAATTTTAGGATGCTTTGCATCTAAAATGTCATCATCCTCAAATACATGAATCGGAAGTCGCGTGATCCCCCGGAAGCAATCAAAACAACACTTACATATGAAAATTTAACCTCGATTTGATTGCGTCTTGTCATGAGAGGTAATGAGAATTTTCAATATCTCTCACGCCATCTAGCACAGACTCAAGCGGTATTCAATCTTTAAAGAAAGCTGCTAAAGGTGTTGGAGTATGATTATGTGTATATAAAATTTCAATATACTACAAATTGCTTTTAAACCTCAACCATTACGGATATAAATGTAAGCTTAGACAAAGTGCTGTTTTCCATATTTTGTTTGATCCAATATAGTGGTTTTACAGTAAATAATAATACTTTATTTAATATGAAAAAATATGATTGGTCTTGAATTATCTGTCTATTAAGGATGATAACCACTAGATTTGACTGTCAAGGTTTTACAATACGCAAGTAATAATCTGTTAGAACATACATTATGTATGATATATGACGTACGAAAGAGAAAAATATAAATGTAAACACTCTAGGGACGTTGTCGTATTTTTGAACAACCCATAAATCTCTTGCACGACTACCAAAAAATACTGGTAGTTTATATTTCTTGTTACCTTCAAAATTTCTCTAATAATAATAATAAAAATCTAATCAATCTACTAACCTTTCTTAATTTATTACAAAGAAATTGAAATTCATTCTTAGAAATGGATACTTCTCATCAAATGATGGTGCAATGATATTAAATTATAAGTAATGAAAATCATTAAAAAAATGAAAATTAAATGATTAAATAAATAAGAGGCGTCTTACTTTAGTGCTAATTTACCACAAAGTACTCCGTAGTAGTAACATGATCGTGATTATTTTTGATGTGCTATCTCTTTTTGATAACCAATGTTCTCAAATGTTGAATCATATGATGATAACTAGCGTTCTAGATTCGTTGAATAAATCGAGTATTTTAGTCGGTTATATTTTAAAAGAGAACATAGGTAAGTTTTTTTAATTTTTAAATTATATGACTTTTTTTGAAAGTTTGAAACATGAATATGATGTATACATATATATGCCTTTTATGTTGGTATATGTTTTGTGTACATTGTCATTCGCAGTATAATATAAATCCAGTTGTTTATTCTTACTTGATGTTAATCACTTTGCGGAGGGATTCAATCCTCTTGTAACTATCTTATGTTTATATTCAAAGAATTCATACTTTGATTATATAATGCTTATAACATATGTTTGAAATCGGTCTGAACGATTACATAACAAACTTCTCATTATTTCGGATGGAATTATGACAGACAGTTCGAGAAAACCTCATTGCTATTCTGAAATAAAGTGTATGCAGTATTTTTATAGCAATCTTTTTATAAAATATTTCAGGCAGAGAGAAATGATGAATTGTTCACATAGTCCCGAAGACATTAAATGCTTAAAATTAGGCTTGGTAATGATTAAATTACGTTCTTTTTGCTAAGAAATCTACAAAAGTCATGTTCTATTTTGTAAAAGTAAATAAGATATTGAACATTCTGAAATTTTAACATGAATCAATACAATTTAATAACACACTGATGTTTTAAATAAATATAACATTTCTTTGATATTTAGAAAATACCGCTGACGACAATTATCAAGATATGACATCACTGAACGTATCATTTTACTTAACATGTATCAATTTCAATACTTCCGTATTCTATATTGATTTATGAACTCTAGATCAATTTTAATAAATGCTGCCTTTCAGGTTTTTGTTGTAGCAGTTATGAGTGTCATTTGTGCAATTGGTATAATATGGATTTGCTGTATTTTAAAACAAAGACTAGGTGACTTTAAATGTACTAACCAGAAGCCTTCACATCAAGCAGATACACTACAAGAGCAACAGGTAAAATGTAGTTATTTAGTGCATGTAAAAGGAGTAGTATTTAATTCCCGATTGACCTGTACTATAAAAATGTTATGCTTAACACCCTGTGTCGCAATATTATAACCAGTACGTTACCAGGGTCGGATAAATGGTTAATACATGTGATTTTTAAACTTGCCTGTAAGTTTGTTTACGGGCGAATTTTTTTTTAAATAATTATTTCCGTGTATGTATATGAATATTATATATTTAATATCTATTTTCTTCAAAGTATGATCTTGAAAGTGCGAAAAAACGTCAAATATTGCAACATTCTTTGGGCATTTTGAAAAATCATGCTATGTTCCAAAGTATTAAATTCATTTATGTATGTTGCTTTTCAAAATTGTCAGTTTCCCTTTGTTTCTTATCTATTTTTTAACTTTTAACTGGACTTGAATTAAAATTTATCTGTAAATGGTTAAATTCTGGTAAAACTAGGTCATATTGTCAAAAATCCTTCCAAAACGAGCGCAACACATTTAAACTTACCAATTATAACCATACATATTTTTCATTAACATTCAATGTTTTATAACTTGTCTCATATTCCAAGGTTCGCAATTTTATTATTGTTTGTATGCATCCGTCCGTATAAAACATGTAAATAAAAATATATTTATTTTAGCCAAATGATGATGAACTAATAAGTTACTGTCGGTTTGTCGCGGTTGAAGGCATAACAACGCGAAAGAGATACAGAACAGGATTATTATCTTAATTCTGTCGCACCTACTTTTCGTTTTGTCGTTATTGCATGCTGGCGCCAAACGCAAAATTTTGGATTCGTCATCTTGTTACCTGTATGTCCCACCAATGCCGCAACAAAAAACGAAAACATGTACATATACATGTATATAACACGTTCTGTTGCTCCTTTGCAATGTCGCACCTTCAACTGCGACAGTACGAAATCAAGAAATGACAGCCAAAAGCAAACATAGGAACGTAATTTTAAATTTTGTAAGAAAATAAATCAGAGGTGTCTGATTAAAACATAAGAAAAGATTGATGTATATTCTAAACCGGGCAGCTTAAAGATTATGCATATCATACTATAAGCATTCTTTTGATAGATCCTGAATAAGACACGCCCCATTAGTCCATTTATTATAAATGGAACGTCAGTCCGTCAATTCGCTTTTCTTGTCTAGGATATAACTTTTAAACAAGAGGTTTTAACATGAAATTGTGTAGGCAGATAGATCTCATTGAGTAGAAGTGCATTGAAAAAGAACCATAATTCTGTCCTGCTGAATTTTGGAGTTATTACTCTTTGTTCATTTTTATACGTGAACTTTGTCTGGGACATAACTGTAATATTTATCGGCATGAATCTTTGTAGGTAGATAGATCTAATTTTGTAGCAGTGCAGTGCAAAAGAACCGTAACTCTGTCTTGCCTAATATTAGAGTTATCGCCCTTTGTTCATTTTTCACACTTTGATCTTTGCCCGGGACATTTCCCTGAAACTACAAGAGATATCAACATGGAACTTTGTAGGTAGATAGATCTCATTGAATTGCAGTGCAGTGCAAAAGAACCACAACCCTGCCTTTCCTTTTTTTGGAATTATTGCCCCTTTTCACTTCTACAGTTTGAACTTTGGCCAGGACATAACTCGTAAACAATAAAATAAAATATCAACATGAAATATTGTAGGTAAATAAATCTCATTGGGTAAAAGTGCAGTGCAAAAGATCCATAACTCTGTATTACCTTATTTTGATGTTCATGTTTACACTTTGAACTTTGTATGGGACATAACTCGTAAACTAAAAGAGATATCATCATGAAACCTTATAGGTAGATAGATCTTATTGGGATTATGTGCAGTGCAACCATAACTCTGCCTTGCATTATTTTGTAATTTTGGTGTTATTGCCATTTGTTAATTTTTTCAATTTGAACTTTGTCGGGGACAAACCATAAGAGGTATCAACATGAAACTGTGTAAGTAAATTGATCTTATTAAATAAAAGTGCTCTGCAAAAGAATTTTAACTCTTCCTTGCTTAATTTTTGAGATATTGCCCTGTGTTCATTTCTACACTTTAAACATTGTTCAAGACTTATTTCTTAAAGTATTATATATATGACACGACTCTTTGTAGGTAGACAGATCTGAAATGGTAGATGTGCATTACAAAAGAACCATAACTTTTATTTGCCTAATTTTAATTTATTGGCCTTGGTTCATTAACACACTTTGATTGTCCGTGACATAAATTTGACACTACAAGAGGTAAACTTTCCTTTGTGCACAACCTATTCGGGGAGCATCATCCGGTTCAACCGGCTCTTGTTTATCTGTTTCCGGATCCATTTATTTCAGCAACTCTTGGAATATACCATTTTTTGATGAGGATTCTCCAGGTGTTTCTGTGATAACAGTATTTAAGTCGAATATATGACTAAAAAACCTGATATAACTTTCGCCTTGAAGGGTTCTATTTACTTTATTTTTCTTACTTTGCCAACTACTCGTACAGGTAAGCTAACAAGATTGCAAATGGCGATCCTCTTAGGTTGTTGAAGTAATTCATGAGACGATTCTTTAGAGAGGAATCTTAAAACAATAGTGCAAATAATTATCGGAACATCCAATTGTACTCTGTAATCGAAATCTCTAAAAGTGGAATATTTAAAGCCATGTCCGATAAGCCAGTTATTTTTTGCAAGAAGATTCAATGAATCTATAAAATAGTAATGAATTTCAATCAGTTATGTTTATTATAAATTCCGTAATTCGATGCCATTCTGGTTTCCTGTCTAAAGTGTTGTAGAACATTGATCCCGTGTCATAATAACAATTTGCGTTTACATCATTCACCTTTATAATAGACTCACTTGGACATTCTACTTATCTTTTAAATATGTTTGTTAGCTTGTTCTGGCGTTTCGTTTCTGCCTCTCATTTGCCATTCAATCGGGACAATCAAGCTTTTATCACTCTTAAACATTTTTATGCCTGCATCGGGCTGTTTTTCTGATCTTTTTCATTTGTTTCTTTTCTGGAATTATTTTCCATATCATTCTTTCGGTTTTGTCCAAAACTTCCATAGTATCGGTTTTGTATCAGAACCAATTTCCTTCACCAATATTGTGGTAATTATTAGTCCTTTTAAATTTTTACTCTCATTTACGTCCAAACGGTATTGGTATTAGTATTTACAAGGTTTTTCTTTTACTTGCTTTACCTTCTCTAATTCTTTTCGAAGTCTTTCATTTTCTTCATTAGTTGTTTAATAATGTCTTAAATAATTCACCTCAGCAATAGCTTTTTGTCTTAATTCTTCAAATGGGTCGCTGATTTCTTTCCGTTCTTTTTCAAGTATCATGGATGGACCATTTTGTTGATGGTAACAGTAGAATTTCTTCTAGAGGAAGACCCCACTCTGCTACTGATTCCTCGGTTTTTTCTGTTACTAAATAAATCAGTTAATTTTGATGTGCTGACTAAAAGATCGACACAGAACTTAGATTTATGAGCACTTTTTTCGCCTCTTCACGACTATCGAAAACCTTGATCAACTACATGATCTTACTACAATTCTGTTGCGATAGTTCTTTCAATTTCTCTGTTCCAGTCCTCGAACGAAGATTTTATTCTTGGTTTTGGATCTGAAAATTGGCTGATGATTAGCTTTTCTCCAAACGTACGTATATCATTACTACTTTGCCTTGGTAATTTATGAATTCCTAAATTTATTTGATAAAAAACTTTCTTTTATACCACATATTAAACATTTAAAAACTAAATGCCTAAAAGCTTTAAATTTACTTAAGGGTTTATCAAGTACAAATTGTTCATAATTACTGAAATAATACTGAAGTCTTATCCGATCAAAATTAGATTATGGTTCTGTAGTATATGGATCTGCAAGAAAATAATATCTTCAAATCCTAGATACCATACATCACCAGGGTTTACGTTAAACTTAAGGTGCTTTTCGCACATCACCTGTAGAAAGTCTATATGCGGAAGCTGGGGAACCATCGCTTCATCTTCGTCGAAAATATATCACTTCAATATGCAACTAGAATTTCATCATATAGCAAAAATCCAGCTAAAAATATTATTTTCAAACCAAGCTATACTGAAAAATATGTTAACAAACCAAAGGAAGTTAAACCATTAGGCCTTCGTTTAAAAGATGATTGAGATAAACTTTAAATTAATCCAGACAGTATCCTTCAAAATGACGATGAAGATGTTCCACGTTGGACTTATAATTCCCCAAAAATAAATATTAACCTTTCATATATAAAAAAGTCATCAAATTCACCTGAACATTTCAAAGAGAAGTTTCTAGCGATTAAGGAAGAACATGAAGATTCTATACATATCTATAAGGCTGGTTCAAAAGAAGGTTGCAAGGTTGGTGCGGCTGTGTTTGAAAATAATTTCACATTTAGTATGAGGTTACCAGATAATGCATCAATTTTTACTGCTGAAGCATAAGCTATAGATTAAGCATTGTCATACATAGAACAGCATACCCATGATAAATTTGTGCTATTTTCTGACTCGCTTTCTGATTTATTATCCATTGAAAATAAAAAATTCGACAATATCATGATAAAGAAACTTCTTTTACGATTTCATAAAGTACAAAATCTGTTAAATTATATTGGATTCCAAGTAGGTATACGAGGAAATGAAAAGTAGGTGCTTTAGCTAAACAATCATTAAATTTTCAAAAAACTGACTTATTGTTACCTGCTTGTGTCATCTGAATGGAAAGCAAATTGGGACAATGCCGTTTTTAATAAACTTCACGATATAAACCCATCTCTTGATGTGTCACCATCTCTATCTCTGTCAAACCGCCATGATCAAACAGTTCTTCATCGATGCCAAATTGGACACACTCAAATTACCCACTCTTATCTCCTCGTGAATGACAATGCCCCTTTCTGGGTAGGTTGTAATGAAAATTTTACTGTCAAGCATTTTCTTTTTGAATGTCATGATTTTCACAGACCCGTAGTAGATTTTATTCTGTAAATTCACTCAAAGAACTCTTTAATACAATTCCATCAAAACCATCATTGATTATTTGAAAGAGATATACTTGTATTCTAGGATCTAATTGGCTCATTTTTATTGTCATTTACAAAGTTTTACATAAAATTTTAAGCCCATTATAGCATTAGGCACGATATGGCCAGTTATGTGTTGACGTGCCGTAAAAATCCAAACAAAAAAAAGAGTATAAATTCCTTCCTCTAAGTAATCACTCATCATATTGTGAATATTTGATTCATATTTTTGTTGAACTCTTTCTGTTTTTCTGTCGTCTTAGCCACTTTCTTTCAGTAAGTTTTTTTTCTTTTCCAGCAAATAGTCTTTCTGTTCCAACTCTCTTTTCCTATTTTCAAAAGTCGTCAATCTTCTTCTCATTTTCATATATCTTCTTGAGAGTTTCAGTGAAATCATTTTTCATTTTACGTTCTACATTGTCCTTTTCCAATGTATCGCTAATAAGATGCAATCTTTCCGTCTTTGAATCAATCATTTCCTTATAATATTACAATTCATTTTCATGTTAATTTTCTGCTCCTCAATTCAAAGTGTTATCAAACTCTTCCCTTTCTTTCATAGTTCAGTAATTAAACCTCTGTCTTCTATTTCTTAACTTGAAACACGTCTGTTTCTTCATCTTTTCATTAGCAAACTATGATTTTCCTCATCTCTATACTCTGGTTCTGTTGTTGTTCCTTTGGTTGTTTATATCCGCTTGTTAATTTGCTCTTTTTCAAAGGTTTGTATTTGATATACCTTTCATGTTTTAAGCCAATTCTCATCTCCTTCATGTTTAATTACTGTATCAAAACTAACTATTTGAATGATCTTTTTCTCCATCCAAACGATCTCTTCTTTCTGCCGCTGACTTTTATCAGATCTTATCTTATCAAGAGTATGAGGATTTTCATTTCTATGTATTGATAAGCATCTCTTTTAAATGTCTAAACTGATAATCTAGATATATTTAGAACATACCGTTGATTTCCATTCGATGTAAATGCAAGTACATTAGTGACTACAATATCTGGCGCTCCCCTTCGAGATGTCATAAAGGTTTGACTGCCTTTTCTTTTACAGTTGCTCAAGTTCTTGTAATTGTTTTTAAGTTCCTCCTTTTCTACTTAAGAAGGGTTGTTTTTTGTAAATTTCCTTCAGATTATGTGATTGTCCTTAATTTCTCTATTTAGGTTTCACTTAATACTATTTATTAGTTCAACTCAACTACTTTCAAGGTTTAGCAATTATATGTTTCTATGCTGGTTTCATTTCACTCGGTAAATTAGTAGCGAATTACTTTCTTTGTCTTTCGCAACTTGCTTTCCCACTTACTAAATAATTTCTTATTTTCTCTCGTGTCGTTCACAATCTTTTTTACTTTTATTTCATAATTCCAATATGTATTTTTCGCAACCTTTTATCTTTTTCACTTTATGATTTCTTATTCTCTCTTTGTGTTTTTCAAAATTTCTTTCCACTTCTCTTGATAATTTAAAGATTTTACTTATCGCTCTTTTCTCTATTACCTTTTAAATTCACTTCCCGAGTTTTCACAAACTTTGTATATTTAACTATCCAATTCAAGATTTTAACTTTGTTTCACTTACTCTTTTTTATTCTTTTGATTATTACTATCTTTATTTGATTGTCAAACAGCCACATTTTACTTCACTTCCTTTAATTTTTAAAATTTCCCATTTTCGTTCAATTTACTATCCCTTTTCACTACATTTGATTTTTTGAATTCACTTCAAAGTTTTCAAAACCTTTTTTCTTTTCAATTTCAAAATTCGAAATTTCGATTTCCTTTCCTTTGACAACATATTTCTTCTTTCACTCTCTTATTCGAAATTACCTTTTCGTTTCCTTCGCTATGCTCTTTATTTTTCAAAATTTATTCTCTTTCTGATTCTTTCATAAGCTCCTTAAAATGCAATACAAAAATTCGAATCGACTTTCCGTGTTTTTGAAAATCTCCCTTCACTTTATTCACATATGATCCAAAGTCTATTTACTTCGAAACCTTTTCACTTTATTTCAATATTTTTTATTCTTGTCATATTCTAGCTCAAAGTTATTTCACATATTTTTCCTCATTATTCTGGAACAGTAGTTTGTACAGTTATGAACTCTGTTTCTGTCACAGTTTATTTTCAATATTTCAGTACAATGTTGAATTTTTAACTCTCTTTTACGTCGACAAAGTATTTTCATTCAAAACAAATGTTTTTATCAGTTTGTACAGTTTATTTGTCAATTCAACAAGCTGCCAGTTACTTTCCTTTCTTTCAATATTAATAAATATATGTTACGTTTGAGAATAATTATATTGTTTTACATTATAAATAATATTGTTTATATATTTGTATTTGTGATATATGATTTGATACGTTGTTTCGGTTGCTTTCGTTTATGTTTTTTTTTGTACAAAGTTCTTATTACTACTTTGCATTAATGATATAAACTTAATTTTATTTGTGTGGGTATAATAATACCTGAGTATATAAAGCCTTCTTAAATCGACATAAGCTGTACATTTAAAACAAAGTGAAATTCGTCCTCTAGATCTTTTAAATTACATAATGTACATTTTCGTTCGTCACGCAGAATATTGTAGTGACGGTCGACTGGAGAATACAACCCCAAGATGATTAAAAGACTTGACTATTACTATTTCATGATTATTATAATACCATTTGCTGTTTTCCTTAACTTTCCACCTTTCCTAAAAACTACAACTTTAGTTTTTTCTATGTTAACTGTAAGGTTCTATTTACAACAATAAGAAAGTAAACTATCTAGTGATTTCTGTAACCCAGTGTTTGTTTCGGAGACGATTTCCGCGTCATCAGCGAATAGGAGCAAATATATCGCAATTTGATCAACATTTATTCCAGCGTCAATATTTTCCTGTAATTGCAGTTCTATATCATTTAGAAATAGAGAGAAGATAATCGGCGAAGTTATTTCTCCTGGGAACAAACCTAAATTACTATTGAAAAATTCAGTTAGGCTCCCTTAAAGTTTTACACAAAGTTTCACTTCGCTGTACATTGATCTTAATACCGAAAAAAATTTACCATTTATTCCTAGTTTTATAAATTTATACCATGATAGCTTTCTTCTCTCGATAGAGTCATAAGCTTTTTATAATCTACAAAACAACAGTACAGTTTATTTTTATTCAGAAGTTGCTTTTAATTAATGCGTTTAAAATAAAAACAGGATCTACAGTACTATATTTATTTCTAAAGCCAAATTTGGCATCAGATAAAATGTTGTCATAAACCCGTACAAAATACAGTCGGCTAAGTATATCGTTTAAAACGAAGAATGATACAAAATTATATGAGTAATATAGTGAAAATGAAACTTTCAATGTTTACAAACACATTAATAAGTGGCTGTCAAACTGTCCAAACTTTAATTCCTTCTTCAAGCTCGTTGTTGATAAGTTCATTGTTGATTCCGGAATAAATTAATGTTTCAATGAAAGATAATTGGACTGCACCCCTTTCATTTAAAAAGTGATGAAAATCTAGCATATTTTTTTAAAGATAATTTCAAAAGTGTATGCTATTTTTTTTAAATAAAATTGTAAGCATAAGAGAAACTGTGCAACAGTATTTCTAAGAATATAATAACTCAAATATTCAAACATTTTAAGTGAAAATGTAAGGGTCACACATTTATCTGCCCTTGAATTTGCGCTTAGATCATTATTAAGCTACATGTAGTCATCTTAAAAAATGTAAGACAGTGACAATGCTTTGAAAACCCGACCTAGTATGTCCAATATTTCAACCAGCGTTTGAAAACTTTTATCATATCAGTGCAATTAAACAAGTTAATACACAGTCTGATGAAATTTTACATTTGTTTAGTTATTTTTTCTTAAATTTCATTTCGTGATAAAGCAGGTTAGACATCTGCAATAGAAGCTATAGAAAATATACAGCTTCTAGATCATAAGATAGTGCTTTAACTTAATATATGAATTAAACGTAAAATGAGTTGTCAAACATATGAGTAGTTTTTACATTTTTTGCCTTACTATTGTTTGTTCAAAGTCCATTTAAAGACATTTTCTACAGTTTTATGAAAATTTAATCCTTTCATAGAATTTTCTAAATTTTTTGTATGATGAGTAAAATTTAATGGCGAATTCAAAAAATAAAAAGAAAAATATATGTTGACGTGTTGGATTTCTTGTAAAATGGCAGTTTCCATGGTAACGGTACATCTCAAAACTGTCAAAATAGCCAAACTGTGTTATAACAAATAGACAATTTATAAGATAGCTAAATTCACACAACAAGCATTGTTTTATGCAAAGATAACCTTATCTAATGATTCTGTATGAAACAAATTATAATCTGAACATATTTCTTTAAAAAATGAGTTTTCCATGTTCCTCAACCGAACAAAAAATGAGAAAAATAAACATGAATTCTGTGAATAATTAAAAATATTGAAAATTTTCATTCATAGGATTTTCTAATTTTTTTTTATGTTGTGTAAAATTTAATGACAAAGTCAAAAATAAAAAGAAAAATATATGTTGGCGTATTGGATATTTTGAAAAATGGCAGTTTCCATGGTAACTGAATATCTCAAAATTGTCAATATAGCCAAACAGTATTAAAAAATGTATAAGACAGCCTATTACACACACAATTAATAAATAACATACTTTGATACAAAGCTTGCTTTATCGTCGGGTTCTGTATTAAACAAACGAAAATTGGAACATATTTCTCTAAAAAATGAGTTTTTAATTCATGCTTTTTAACTAAACAAAAAATGAGAAAAATAAACATGAATTCGTAAAAAAATCAAAGCTATCAAGAAATTTCTTTCATAGAATTTTCTATTTTTTTGAAATATCAAATAAAATTTCATGGTAAATTCAAAAGTAGAAAAAAAATATATGTTGACGTGTTAGTTTTTTTGTAAACGGGCAGTTTCCATGGTTACCGCATATGCCAACTGTCAAAATTACCAAGCTTTCTTAAAAAATATCAGTGTTATACTAAATGTATTGTCATATATACATCAAAAACATGATGAAATAAAAAAATCTTTTTGTTTTGATGTTATATAAAGTAAATGATACTGAATATGTTTTTAAAACAGGTTATATAGGGACATATTATATTTTCACTTGACTAGCATACCCGAACAGTAAGCCAGTATCGAGAAATTTACAAAGAAAATAAATAATGAAATTCGGAACATTTCTTATATATTATTTTTGTTTTTTATTCAACACTTTTGAAATATATCATTTTAAACTTCTTTGCCCAGTTGTCGGACAGTAAACAAGCGGTGACGCAAATTCGTCACTATACCACAAGTGGGTGGGGTAACGCAGGCAGAATCATCATCAATGCTGCCGTACTAATGCTAGGAGAAATCCTTAATCTGATGTTGTCTAAACGACCTCTTATTCGTTTGAACCGATCTCCTCTTGAACATCTATAAATATATATTTTGTATTATTTACTCATTATTTGCTTATAGCCGAAATTTAAACACTTATCCGAGTACTATTCAACTTAACCTTCTTTTTGTAGAGTAATTATCCGTGATAACCTTTCTTGGAAGCGCATAACGATGCGCACAAAAAACTACCGGAAACGTCTTTAACAAACTAAAGCAGATTTAACATACATGTATATATTGATAGCTCATTTAAAATTGTAACAAAAGTTATCTTTGATGTAAAATGTGCACGTGGTTTTAACTGTTTGATATTATATTTGAATACAAATTAGACTTATTTTGATTTTGAATCTATGCTGAACTAAATAATAGAAAAAACAATAATCAGACCGATAGTTTTGTATTTTCTCACATGTTATTTGTCAGCATCATATATAGAAAACCCATTTACAATTTTCATTTATTCTTTTGCATAGGGTACAAGAAATGAAGGAGCGGACGTTAATGAGGTAATTGTGTTTTTTACCTTTACCGTAAAAAAGAGTAATAAAGAATCCCCAAAGAACGCACAAAACAAAAATAGAAATGTTGAAGGCTCTGTTAATTGAGCCTGTTCATGTTTCCGCCAACGCACCGGCTAAAGCATTATTTAACATTTAATAACATCTGGTAGAACTCGGAATTTTAACCTTTCGCAGATGTGTTCATGTGGCGGTTTTCATGAAACCTTCAAGGTGACACTAGGTGCAATTACATGAAAGCGGCGTATGGTCTCCAAGTAAAACAATGGGCAAAACTAAATAGAAGTCATTTTCTGTGTTCCACTTATTAAAGTATGAGTTATCTGTTCTTTGATTGTATGCTACAAACAAAACGAAATGTTATTTTAAAATTACATTAAGAAGAGTTGAATTTTATATTTTAAAAGATTAACTGAAATAATAGTGATTGACCAACTGGTGACATTGAAAAATGTTTAGAATAAAAAATAAAGCTGTCTTAATTATAAGAAACGGCTATCCGCTGTTTTTATAGATATAATATAACAGTTCATTTCCGATAGATATAGAGGATATTTGTTTGTTTTGCATGTAAGATTGAAATATGATTTCACTGAGTGAACACCAGATGTAATAATTTCACGAGTGGCGTAGCCTTGAGTAAAAATATAAAAGCTGGTGTTCACGAATGAAATATATTTCAATCTTATATGGTAAACAAATACATTTTCTTTTTATTTCATGATTTGTAAGTGATTTTAAGTATTTTTTACTGATTTTGCCGCGTAACGTCGCGCGTTCTCCTTTTTTACGTCATCACATCATGACGTCACATCATCAATTTTGAAATATAGTTCTGTTAAATTCCTCTTACTATGTTACGTTTTTAACATGATGTATGGTGACATCGACTTTCTTTTCCTAAAGAAGCAAAATGTACGCATGACGGCATTTATTTCTGCCCGTTATTCCATTTAGTTATGATTTTCTTTTCATCCGCATTCAGATATAGTTCGGCTACAGTGAAAATTATATTTCATAAATTTCACTAGTGGTTTATCGGAATATAATCATCTGATATATTACAATAAAACACTGGAAAACATGAAATAAAATACAATCATTTCTTTGTGTCGCGCGAGTTATTTGACCTTAATGTGAAGTAAGTTCTAAAACTGAAACAATATAAACTTTTCGGGCTTCAATTCTTTATTCACTGTACACCTTATGTCGCATACTTCCTTAAATTTTCTTATCAATATTATATTTGTTCATTTCAAAAGGTTTTGAGACAACAACTCAAAAAGACAAATGTTGGTAAATGATTGCTTTTCATAAATGACTGGTTCCTATATTGGAATAGCGTTTTACGAAGATAATAACAAATTCTGTCGAAAAATCGTTTAAGTTTAAGATATTTCCTCTGTGTCGTTAGATAAAAAATACTACTTTTTTAAAAGATAGAAAAATAAATGTTTTACAAATATTTATTCTTAGACTAAAGCCCCAGTCACACTAGAGCTTACGATCAGTGAAGACCAGTTCACGATCACTAGTGACCTCTGGTAGCGGACAATCTTTAAAACGTCTTACGACGGTCATCGGTGATCTTTGGCAGTCGCAGATTATCTTCTTTAGGTCCCACGACCAATTTCAGTCGTTGAGAGGTTTTTGAGCTTGCACAAAAACCTCCTTGCGATCAAACAGGTCGCTAGTGATCTTATAAGGTCTTTAGGCTGTCGTACGATGGTCATTCGGAAGTGCGACAATCTTACGACAGTCTTTACAAATTGCCACTAGTCACTGATAATCTTAAGTAGTCTTTAGTAATCGTGTGATGGTCGTACGACAAGTTGTAGGTTATGACACGGGTAGTCGTAAGTAATCCCAGGCAATCTTGAGACCATCGTACGTTTACTTATGACCTGTCGTACGATTGTCAATGATGACTTGTCTTACGATACTCGCAAACGTAAATTTATCTGTGCAAAAATGGTTTTGGTCGCAGACAATCGCTGATGATCGTCAGTTTTACAAGTCGCTGGTGGTCGCAAGTAATCGTAAGCTCTAGTGTGACTGGGGTTTAAATTTTAAATTGGTGAACAGTCGGAAAATCGGCATTTACACAATCCATACGATATAAGATACTTCAAAGGAACTTGTCAAAGGAAACGTAAGTGTAAATGGGATCCGGGAGTGCCCGAAAAGGTACTCCTAAGTTGAGTTTTATACATGTTATTAAAATAAGAAAAGGTTTATATCCAATCTAAAAATATTTAAAATCTGAAAACAAAGTGATCCATCAAAAACATTAATCACAACAAAGCTACGTGAAAACTGCAGACTCGATTTGATTTAGTTTGTACATGAGGGATGATAAATAAGTGCAATAAACCTCACGCCCCTTACACCGGTTTGAGCGGTACTCAATTCTTAACACTTAAAAGTACTGGCATCAATAATCCTAAAGGACCAGCAAAATATAACAACACTGAAGTCATACATATAAAAGCGATCTTGTCGTGATATCGCCAATATGAGAAAAGGTTACTTTAATTCCAATTAATGTTCTAAATTTAACTTATGCTGGATATAATATAAAGTTTCTTTTAGGTACAAAAATCAGATATAAAAGTCAAGCTAACATGCTTGACCCGGCAGCATTTGTTGCAGCTCGTCTCTAGTCAACCACTCTTTCTCAGGTATGAAGGTTATTCCATTTAAATCCTGTAAAATAAAAAAAGTCTGCCAAACAAACATATCCTCACTTATAAGTACCACGGTTTACCCTCCGTCCGTCTGTCTGTCCACAAAACTGGATCCCGCGATAACGCAAAAGTTCTGAAAATATTTTTTAATTTAGACTTGATATATGGCTAGATGGCAGTATCGAGAGTATGCACTTTTTTTCCAAGTGTTGAAAACTTTGGTTGCTATGGCAACAAATAGAAGAAAAATATGGCTAATTTAACATATTTACTGGATCCAGAAATATAACTATCCAGCAGTCTTTTTCTTTTCTTCCTATGTTGAAAAATGTTGATGCTATGGCAATAATTAGCTTAAAAAATGGCAAATGGAACAATATTTGTGATAACTAAAAATAACGAACTTAAAATACGGACATATGACAGTATGGAAATTATACACATCATTTTAATCTTAACTGTAGGGAGTATATCGAGAGCCGTCGTCACAGAGCGTCGGCAACCAGGTCAAGATTTCTGATTCAAGTTTTTACAGTTTTTTTTTACTAAGTTCTTTATTTATTTAGCACAAAAATTATCAGAAGTATCCCCTTGAATAAGAATTTTCATGAAAAAAGTAGATATTTTTTATAACTTCTTTATTTATTGATGTACCGACTTCAAACTTCATATAAATGTGTCTTTTTATTTTGCTCAAATCATGTTGGAGAAGGTTCAATACTCTATCTCGACTATTTCCAGAATCACCCTTGAACTTAGTTTTTTTTCTATGAGCTATAATTTTTACTCAAAGGTTATAAATCTAGCGTCCATAAAGATTTATCCTCAGAGTGTCTGCTGGCTCGTCTGTCTGCCCGTTCCTAAAACCTGTTTCCTGAGATCACTTTTAAAGACAACAAATTTAATCAAAATAAAGAAGTTGAAGCATTAGTTATAGATACTCATCCTGAGAAAATTAGATCTTCTGATTATATCTGAAATAGAGAAAAAAAACCTAAAAAATTTCAACACGGCAAAATTGTCGAGAGCACATATGCGTGACAATATACACCAAATGCAATTTATTTTAAGTAATTAAAAGTAATCAGAAATAATTTTTAAATAATGTAGAGAAGAGACCTATTGATAATATTTGTCTGGAACATGATTTATTTAAATTATCAATTACAAAAAATCTATCTTGTCAAATGAGTACTTAGAGATAATTATATATGCTACAGCTTTTGAGTACAGACCAAGTAATGTCACCAATTATGCCCTTAAATTTGGAAGCATTTACCACCATGAAAATGTCAATGGGTATATTCACCGACTGAAAACGACAAAAATGTTGTTTTTTAAACAATAGAAATTCAAAGAAACATAAAAATAATATTATTCCAGGAATTCAAAAGTACAAAATATTTTTTCTAAAAATTAATTAAAAATCAAAATTTCTACGTTCACAAATAATGTTCTTCTTTTTCTTATTACCTCCCGTTACATATATAAGATCAACATCCACACACACACATCCATCTTTTGTTCATTATATGTACAAAACTGATAATGCAATGATTTAAAAATCTTGAAACAAAGTGATCCCTCAGAAGCATTAATCATAACAAAATTACAAGAGAACTGCAAACTCGGTTTGATTGAGTCTGTACACGAGGGATACTGAAAACATGCAAAATCCCCCCAACGAGTGATGATGCATGTTAACGGGAGGGCCCTAGATCGCTCACCTGAACCATCGAACTCATACAAAATATAACTAAGACAAGCATTTTGACCAAATTTCATGACATGTGTGCCAAAAATGTGACCAAGTGTTAACAAGAATTATCCATATTTGAGCAGTTTGACCTAGTTTTTGATCACAGGTAACCCATATTTGTACTTGACCAAGAAATCATCAAATCATACTTTCAGACCAATTTCAAGGATATTTGGATAAAAACAGTGGCCACTAGAGTGTTAACAAGATTTTTCTATTTTTAGCTCCTGTGACCTAGTTTTTCATTTGAGATGACCAATGTTCAAAGTTATCCGAGCAATTACCTAGACAAGCATCTTTTGCAAGTTTGATGACAATTGAGTCAAAAATGTGACCACTAAAGTGTTAACAAGTTTTTTTTCCATATTTGGGCCGTGTGACCTAGTTTTTGACCCAAGATAATCCACATTCGAATTTGACCTAGAAATCATTAAAACAAAGACTTTTTCTATTTTTAGCTCCTGTGACCTGGTTTTTCATTCGAGATGACTCATGTAAGAAGGCATCTGAGCAATAACTTAGACAAGCATCCTGACCAAATT